ATCAAATATTTTGGGCGCAAATTTAGAAAGGTAGCAGTTCGTAAAGATATTCTAGCATAATTGCCAATCTAATATGTATAGAAAAACTCTTATAGAAATTCAAGAATACGGAATTATCACAATTTATGGGATGTTAATTTGCAAATAAACATTTCACAACAATGCTATAATCAAATGCAAAAATATCAATTTTCAGATAATAAGGCAGTCATTTGCACATGAAATTTACAATGTCTAAATATTTAAAAACAGTAGAAAGAAATCTCACAATTTTACTAAAAGCAGAAATATCACATTTATTTCTAATAATTTGATAGTATCTAAAATTTTCTAACAATAGACAAGAAAAATAAATAAATTTATTTTTCTAAGAATTTACAGCATTTAAAATTTCTAGCATAGATAAAATATCACAATTTTTATTAAAAAGATTATTTTTCAAGATAATGAGGTCGCGTGCGCATAAAATTTATCGCGCTTAAAATTCATGATAATAAGCAGAAATAATTATTTCATTTTATTTTTAAAAAGAATGGATTATTTTTCGAGACAATGAGGTCACTTACACACAAAACTTATAAAATAAAGATCTTGGACGGAAATATCACTATTTATTAAAAACAAACTATTTTTCAGGAAGACGATGTCACTTACTTTTAATCACTCACGAAATTGATGCTTTTGGTGTATGTTGGTTGGGGCATTAAAAGGCCGCCCGTTTACAGTAGATCTTATGGAATCAGTATGCACAAGAGCTCAGTGATAAAAGTTTCAGTTAAAAAGACACATCTCATGGTTATACCATAGGAAGATGGCACATTTAATTTACTTACACGTCATAGTGGATTGTCAAGGGCCAACACGTAAGAGAAACTACAAGCCACGTCATAAGATAAGAAAAGCTTAAGCCAAAAGCTTTTGAAAATAGTGATGGTCCTTAAGGACCATCATGCTCATATGGACCATCACTTATTAAAAGTTTATTTTTCCTTTTTTTTTTTTTTTGAATATTAGGATTATTACACCTCGCTTCCTTCTCCAAGAACATCGGCCACGTGAATGCCAATACAGCAGAGGCCCTCACTCTCCTTGAGGGCATTAGACTTTTTAACCCCCTGTGGAGCTCTTCGTTAGTGGTTGAGGGGGATTTCTAGAATGTTATTCGATGGGCCTCCGGTTCTTCTCCTCGGCCTTGGTTGCTTGCTCATATTTTTGACGAGATTGCCCATATTTCTAGGGATGTGGATGTCTCTTGGAGGCATATTTAGCAGGAAGGAAACCATGAAGCTGACTCTCTGGTGAAGGAGGTAGCATCTTTCGTTTAGATACTCATGTCTCTCCTCACTCTAGCTTTACCATGGTTCTTTGTACTTTCTTCGACCTCTATACTGGTGATTTTGTATAGGGTTCCCCTTTAGGGTGACCTTTATATTTTTGTACAGAGCCTACCTTTCTTGGGGATGCCAAACTTTTGTTTAAAGCTCTCGGCCTATGGGAAGCCTCAATTTTTGACCTACTGTACCTCTTCTTCTTTAATAGTATCGAACTATAAACTTTTCAAAAGAAAAAAAGGGTTCCCTCACTGTATTGAAAGGACGTAATGGTCTTTGTGAAATGCTTGCTCTTTATTCCTGCTTTTTGTCATTTCACCGGTTTCATTTCACCTCCAATAGGGAAAATACAAGAGTTTATTCTTGTCACTGGTGTGTGTGTGTGTGAGAGAGAGAGAGAGCACAATGTTCCCCTTTGAGGAATTTGAAAAGATAGCGGGGGGGGGTGGGGGGGGGGGGAGGGAGGGAGGGAGAGATCACATCGTTCCCCCTGAAGGAATTTGTGTGTGTGTGTGTGTGAGAGAGAGAGAGAGAGAGAGAGAGAGAGAGAGAGAGATATC